AAATTGATCTAAATACTGATGGAATACTCTATTCATAAAATCCATAAATATTGCAGGAGCATTTGTTACTCCAAAGGGCATTACCGTGAACTCGTAATGACCATAGTGAGTTCTAAATGCCGTCTTTGAAATGTCATTTGTCTTCACTTTCAACTGATGATAGCCTGACCTCAAATCAATCTTGGAAAATACTGTTGCTCCCTTCAACTGATTAAAGAGGTCTTCAATTCAAGAAAGGGGATATTTGTTCTTGATAGTCAACCAATTCAATTCCTTATAATCAATGCACAACCTCATCGATCCAGCTTTTTTCTTCACAAACAAAATTGGTGCACCCCAAGGAGATGTACTTGGTCAAACATAACATTTATCCAATAATTCCAGCAACTGTATTTTTAATTCTTGTCGTTCTTTTGGCATCATCCTGTATGAAGCTTTAGAAACTGGGGTTGCTCCAGGTACGAGGTCAATTGTAAACTCCAATTGCCTGTCAGGTGGTACGTCAGGTAAGTCATTAGGGAATACATCTATGAAATCTCGTACAATCGGCACATTACCAATAGTAAGCTCTGATTGGTGAGTTCCATATACACTCACTAAAAATCCTTGGCAAAATCTCTTTTTTAACATCTTTTCCGACTTCATGGCTGACACGAGACCAGGTAAAGACTTAACTCGTACAGCGCAAAATCGAAAATCTTCCTTCCCAAGCTTTTGAAAAATTACTTCTTTTTCAAAACACCGAATGGTTGCATGGTTGTTTCCTAACTAGTCCATTCCTAGAATAACATCGAAATATTTCATGTCTAGGAGGTATAGATCAGCTTCTAATTCTTTTCCATTCATTTCTAACTTTACCGCCCTAGCGNAATTCTTTTCCATTCATTTCTAACTTTACTGTCCTAGCGATCTGATCGGTGTTCAAAATTCTACTGGCTGAGATGAAAATTTCTAGAACACTATAGGATATTTCACATGCAATACATGATTTAGCAATAAATACGGTAGAGATAAATGGATGAGTAGCTTCCAAGTCTATAAGAACATATGCAAGTAATTCAGATATAGATAGAATACTTGTCATTACTTTCAGATCCTTTGTTGCCTCTTCTTGGGTTAAAACAAAGACTTTGGCTTTCACTTTCTTGTCTTACTCATAATCTTTCTTAGGTGGATATGCCTTGCAATCTGGGGTGAAATAACCTTCTTGACCACATCGATAACACACGTTTTTCCCAAACAGGCACTCTCCACCATGGGCCTTGTTGCACTTAGGACATCGTTGAGTAACTTTATTTGGTTTGTTTGATCCCGATCCCGATCCTGTATCGTCTTTCTTAAATTGTCCAAATGATTTCCCTTTATTAGTTCATTCCATTTTCGTTTTCCATAAGATTCATTATTTTTCTCGGTCATCCGATCTATTTCTAGACGATCGAATATTGATTGAGCCCATTGAAGTACTTCGCTATAGATAGTCGTATGGTGAGATGCCATGATTCCTCCAACCTCTGGACGCAATCCTAATTCCAACCTCCTAGCCTTCTTTGGCTCGATATCCACAAGGTACATAGCATACCTAGAAAGTTGTTCAAACTTACTTTCATACTCACCAATCGACATATTTCCCTGTTTCAACTGTAGGAACTCTACCTCTCTCCGATCCCTCAAAGATTGGGGAAAGTACTTTGTCATCACTTCTTCTTTGAACTATGCCCAAGTCATAGCACATCGTTGGGCTTCCATTCTGGTACGCGAAGCAGACTCCCACCAGTGGCATGCTGCTCCAACCAGCATAAATTCGACACATGATACCTTCTGTGCATCCGTGCATGCCATGTATTTATAGATCTGTTCCAGTCCTCTTAACCACTCATCGGCTGCCAAAGGATGTCTGCTTTGCCATCAAAAGAATGAGGTTTGAAACGACGAAACTGCTCCACAATTGAACCCATGTTGTTGGCATTTCCTGGTCCATTTTAAGGCGGTATTAGTGCTTGATGCCTACCAAGATCATGTACTGCTCTCATCAGATCCCTGAACATAGCTGCTTGGTCTTGTTGTCCTTCCATTTCCTTTGAATCAACAAAATTTAAATTTTGTCTTAGAAATATTGGACTCTGATACCATGTTAAGATTTGGAATCTATCTTAAAATGTCAACAATATTAAGATGAGTGGCCCAAACTCTTATAAATTGGTCTATATTTTCATCATTATTCGGTGTGAAATTTTATCTCTTAACAATACAATAGTTCGACTAATTTAAATTCCAATAACATAAAGGAAAACACCACAGAACAAAGGAATAGAATCTAAGTTTCTAAATCCTATGAATCCTGCGAATCTTCTTTGGCCGAGCTTCATCTTCGGAGGAGTCTTCAGCCTCAGGCATAGACTCTATGTCTATCTCAACCAATGGTTCAAGTTCATGCTCATGATCATTCTCTAAC